GGAAGATGACTGTGGGAGGAAGCTGAATCTGCCCAGCCCCTCTTGCAGGGCCCCTTCCCCTCCCAGGGCCGACTGCCTCTCCACATCAGATTCAGGGTGGGCCCCTGTCCCTGCACCCTTAAGTCTTCTGCTAACCCCTTCTCCCCAAAGAGGAGCCCCACCTCCTCAGAGCAAGGGCCTGGACTGTGCTATTTCTGTCCTTTCTGGGATTCTTCTGAGAACAGATTCTTGTTTTCGGTCTGATTCAGATGTGAAACTTTTCCCGTGGCCTCTCACCCAGTTGCTGTGTGCTGCCTCTCTGTCTCATCACTCCCTTCTTCCTCCAGCCAGGCCCCTCCTGTGCCCCTCCCCAGAGTTCTCTTTGGTCAGTAGCTCAGTTCTGCTGAGACCTGGAGGAGGAAGTTGGGTCAAAGAGGGAGTCATTCCCCCCGGGGGGCCCTGGGGACCCCAGGGGCGGCATTTTGATCCTCTGAAGTAGGACACTTTGATTCCCATGGCAAACCCTGTTCCTGTGCAGAGGAGCCACCTTCAGGGCCCCATCCTCAGGTAGGCACCAGGGCGAGGAAGGGAGGGGGTAGGAGGAGGACAGGTGGCTGTGGGTCCTCATGAGTAGTTTGGTGGAGGGGAGGGATCAAGACTGGACAGCCCCTGTATGTTGTGTCCACTTCTCCAACACCCCCACCCCCCACCGTCTATCTTGCCCTTCCCCTCATTCTCCTCCCATTCCCATCTCCTTTTCCTTTGTATTGCTTCCTCTTGCCTGTGGCAGGTGACTTAGCCCTGATTACCCCCCTTTCTCTCCTTCCTCACCCCAGCATCCTTAGGACCTCACATTCCACTGAAATCTCCTCATCTGATCTTAAAACCCCAAAGGGAAATTGGATTCTTCTCCCAACTCCTAGCCCTTTGGCTTGAGGCTGCCCTGTCCTAAGCCCCTTACTTACAGTGATCTTTTAGGAGTGTGGGTGCTCGAAGGAGTACAGGGGGCTTTGGAAACTGCCAGATCATCAGCCATGATGGCCCAAAGAAACGAACTGGTGGGAAACTGAACTCTTCTGGGTTGTTGGGATTATTACTACCCTGAGCCTTCTCTTTCAGCGGGCTGCCTAGAGCTGGGAGAGACTGGTGCTTTCCAGGGGTCAGGTCTGAGGATTTTCCCGGGGTGCAGCAGCCAAGGGTAAAGGAGAAAGAAGTGGCTATAGTGAAACAGGGCTGGGGTGGAGGTGGAAGGATTGTTGCAGAAGCTTCCAGTTTTCCTTAGGCCTGGATGAGGACCTGTGCATGGGCAGGGGAAGTAGGACTTCTTGCAGAAGAATGCTGAGGGGGGACTGTGGGTGGGTCTGGGGAGATCCTAACTCTGAAGGACTTTAGAACCAGAGAGGCCACCGCCGGGCTGGAAGGGCTGTGGGGGAGTTAGAGGACTTCAGGAGGGTGACGTTCAGCACCTGGAAACTTCCAGCTGCCTGAGTCCAGGTCCCCTTCTTGGACTTCCCATTTGTCAAATTTATTCTTTAATCTTTCCCTCCCTCCCCACTCCTCTGATGTCTGGATCATGTTCGCTTCAGATTTCAAAAGCAGCTATAAAAGAGCAGGGTCTAGAAGTGGAGGCAGGAGGAATTTGGAGGGAAGGAGCCACAGCCTCCTTCTTCTCTGCAGGCTCTCTAGAGTTTCAGAAACCCTGCCTCAGAGATCTCCATTGTGAGCTCTGGCAGATAGCCCCCCACCTGATTAATCTGCCCCTACTCCCATTTATTTATTTATATTTTATTTATTTGAGAGAGCATGTGAGAGAGAGAGAAAGAGAGAGAGAGCACGAGCAGGGGGAGGGGCAGAGGGATAAGCAGGCTCCCTGCTGAGCCAGGGAGCCCCGATGTGGGGCTCGACCCAGGACCCTGGGATCATGACCTGAGCTGAAGTCAGATGCTTAACCAACTGAGCCAGCCAGGTGCCCCTCCCTTTTATTTCATGGACATTCGCTGAGCACATACTATGTGCTCTGAGTACAGCAGCAGGATAAACATGTCATTGTCAGTCCCATCAAGATGCTCACAGTCTACTATGAGCTGACAGACACCAGCACTTCCTGGGGGAGACAACAGACTGAGGAGCTGTGATGGAATGAGCTCCAGCCTCTCTCCAAGCGAATTATATGATTGAACCCCATCTGCCCAATACCTTTGGTGTGCGGGACACGGTTAGGCCCCAGCAGTGTGAGTTGTAGGCTTGCCCACTTGACTGAGATGGACAAGTTGTATGACCCTGGGCCAGTCACTTAACCTCCCTCCTCAGGTGGTTGTGTGGCCCAAATGAAGTTTGTCATTATGAAGGAGAGATCACGGCCATTTTCATTGTCTCATTTTCTCTGTTAGGGGGCTTCCCAGTCATGAGCCTCCATGCAAACTAGACTCACTCTTCTCCACCTGAACTTGGGATGGAGAAGGCAGGCGCTTGTTGGTTTGAAGGCCACGAGGGGTGAGTTGGGTGGGGCCAGCGTGATGCTGGTCAGTTCATTCCAATTCACATCATGTTTATAGAGCCCCACTCTATGTGTCAGGCCTTTTGCATACATTATTTCATTTATAAAAGAAATTATAAAATAAATAATAATTCTTATTAACAGCCCTTCACAGGTGGTTTATCATCATCTTCACTGTTTTACAGAGGAAGGAACAGAGGCTCTAAAAGAAAGGTTCTCAAAGTTCCATGTGCATGAGAATATCCTGGGTGTTTGTTAAATGTGTTTGCAGATCCTTGGATCATACCCTCAGAAATTCTGGTTCAGTAGGTGTGCACCCAGGGCTAGAACCTCAATTTTTCACAAGTATCCCAGGTAATTCTGATGCCAGTGGTCGACAGGCCACCTTTTGAGAGATACTGATTAAGGATTAGTGACTTGCCCAAGGGCTGGGGGCCTGGAAGTGGTATCTTGGAATCCAGGATTCCTGGCTCCCGGAACTGTGGCCGGGAGCCTTGGTTTCTGCATTGGAAATAGGGGTGGCCATTTCCTCCCAACTCCCACCCTCCCTCTAGGCCCATTGTGAGGATGATCTGAGATAAATCGCTTTTTTTTTTTAAATGTAGAGCTGGCAGCATTGTTAATGATTATGCAAATACATGCAAATGAGCACCCGTGGGCTTGGCTGTTCACTTTGGGAGCCTGTGCTGGGATGTGTGTTTCAAGATGTGGGTCGGGAGAGAGTGCAGAGGAACTTTGGTGAGTTTAGGTTTGGGTTTTCTTAAGGGCTGACCAACGTGGAAGATGGGGAGGGCTGGGGTAGGAATCTGGGAGAGAGATGGGACCAGAGGCTTTTCTTTCTTCTTGGGTTGTGTGACCCCTAGATCTGAGGCTCCCTGGCCACGGGGACCAACCCGGAGAGGGAAGCCCTGGTTTGTGCCCGGGCCCCAAAGGTGGAGCGAACCTCTTTGTTCTGCCACCTCTGGGTCAGCACTCTGGGAGATGCTGGTGCAGTCCCCCTTCCCGGCTCATTGGCTGGAAAGCCTATTATATTGTTTAGCCTCTAGCCCGCATCCCTAATGAAGCCCTAGCTGGGGCAGAGCTTTACTGAAGCCGGCTTCTTTCTTGTCCAACAACCACTGTTTGCACATGCAGCCGGTGCAGCAGGAAGGCCAGAAGTGAGGTTTGAAGATCACCCATTGAGGAGGCTGCAGTGTCCCCCGCAACTGCTTTCCTCCCATTTCCCCCCTTGCCCTTCTGCCCCGTTTGCATTCAGACTGTTCCAGCAGGACTGCTGGCCCCTGAGGGGAGAGTTGGCCCGCGATGCTTCCTGGGGCTGACTCTTTCTGGCACCCCATTCCAAAGCTGCTGAGACCCCAGGATTCTGGAGTTGCTTCTGTTCAGGAGTACCATTGTTCTCCCTCCCCGGCGTCCCTGGGAACTGATGCTAATTTCAGCCTCTGGTCCCTGACTCATTCTTTTTTCCTCCCTGACTCATAGGGTGACCTTAGGTTTCTGAAGCCCCTCTCAGTGGGGAATTGTCCCGGGCCCGCACTTCACCCCCAGCTGGGGGTTAGGTAGGGCAGGGCAGGCCTGGGGGAAAGAGTGAGGGGAATGTTTAATTGCTTTCTTTAGAATCACCAAAGTCCAGAGAGTTTTGTGTGCTTTGTGGCTGCCTGGGCTGGACTCGCCAGACTTCTAAGAAATCTCCCACTTCATCACTGACCCCCAGCGTTCATGAGTGCAAAAGATGAGGGACTGTCCCCTCAGGCAGGGCATCGAGTAAGTGAGACCCCCAGCCCCACCCCCCACCGCTTTGTCTCTGGGGGAAGCTGCTGCGGGGCAGAGGTAGGGGATGGGTACAGACACACATTGCCAGAGGTTCTCTTGGGCACAGCGTCGGGGAGGCAGGGGTTAATTCTGCTCTGTCCTGGTTGATGGATTCTGGAATCATAATCCATTAGCTCTGCCTGAATGGAGTGAGGCCAGGCGAGAGCATTCACATTGGTCTTTGTTCTGTGTTTTCGCCATCCCTGCCAGAGAAAGAGAGGCTGTGGACATATACGCCCCCCCTTCCCTGCCATGACCAACGGATGTAATGGAAGCATCTTGGGGGCCCTTTTGATTGCTGTTGACGCCACAGCTCACTCTGCTGGGGGAAATTGGCAGTCTCAGCTCTTGGTTATTCAGGCTATGAAACAGATCGTTCCCAGAACATCAACCCAGGGGCTTGTACCTGCCTCATTCTGCTGGGCCTGGGCAGTCTGAACAAGAGTTTTCAGGAAACACTGAAGGGAGGTGTGGGGAGGTCAGCGGTAGGTGGGGATGGTGGGGTCAGAAAAAAGCCTGGGATTGAACTTTGGGGGTAGATAAACTTAATACAGGCGGTGGCAAGAGTCGGGGATGAAACACACTAGCTGCGATTCTTCTTCCTGTTGGAGAGAGTACCGATTTGTGGAAGACTGAGGCACCTTATCAGAGGGGGTCCTGCTCTCCTGACAAGGTAGCAGCGCCTAAGCACGCCATCTGTGCCCACCCCCCACAGGTTGCGCTACATGGTGAAGCAGCTGGAGAACGGGGAGGTAAACATTGAGGAGCTGAAGAAAAACCTGGAGTACACAGCTTCTCTGCTGGAGGCTGTCTACATAGACGAGACACGGTGAGAGACCCGTGCATGCAGGCAGACACCGGGCAGCCACAGTGATCAGGGACGGGAGCGAGACAGAAGGCTGGAGATAGAGACCTGCGACAGGGCCAGAGCAGGGAGGAAGAGCTGTAGGTGGAAATATCACAGAGATAAAGGGGCGGAGGAACAGATAGGGGTTTGCAGAGATAGAGACAAACACAGGCATCAAGGAGAGAAGACTGTTTCAGAGCTGGAAGGGACCAGAAAGCTCATGTAGTCCTAACCCTCCCACCAGTGGGGAATCCCTTGAGACCTGTGCAGCTCAGCATGGGGGCCGCTGGTCACGTGTGGCCATTGAGCCCGAGTATGAGCTGAGACATGGATGTACATGCAACATGCATGCTAGATCTCAAGGACTGAGAAAAAGGAATGTAAAATATCTCTCTATATTTTGTATTGACTTCACACTGAAATGATACTATTTTGGGTGTATCTGGTTAAAGAAAACTTATCATTAAAATGAATTTCATCCGTTTCTTTTTACTTTTTTTACTTTTTTAATGTGGCTACTAACCAATTTAAAATTACTTCTACGTGGCTAGCATTTTATTTCCGTTGGACAGTGCTGCTGGTCTCAGCCTCCCTGACACGTGGTATCTATTCCATTTTCTGCTTGAGCATTTCCAGAGTTGGGGCGCTCACTACCTCACATAGTGGCCTGTTTCATTAGTGGTGGCCTGAGAGAGACAGGAAAAAAAAAAAAAAAAAACCACCACCAAAAACATAGTGAGAGAAAGGAAGGGGAGGGTCAGAGAAGGGAGACACCTGGCATGAGCGTTCCTGAGCTGTGGGGTGTGGCTGGGCTCAGCGTTCCTAGGTTGTGGAAGCACCTGCTGTCTTTCTTCTGTGACTCCCCTTCTGGGGCCTCAGGCAAATCTTGGACACGGAGGATGAGCTGCAGGAGCTGCGGTCAGATGCCGTGCCTTCGGAGGTACGAGACTGGCTGGCCTCCACCTTCACCCAGCAGGCCCGGGCCAAAGGCCGCCGTGCAGAGGAGAAGCCCAAGTTCCGGAGCATCGTGCACGCGGTGCAGGCTGGGATCTTCGTGGAACGGTGAGGCTTGCCCCTGCTCAGCTTTCCTCTGCCTCTAGTTGTGTCCGCGTTTCCCAGGCACCCTGGGCTTCCGGGACCCCACCAGACCCCCAGTGGTGTGGGCCCCCCCCCCCCCCCCAGAGCTTATCCCCACAGCCCCACCTGATCAGACCCCACTTCCCAGACCTTCATAGGTGGGCTTCTTTTCGTTGTTTGCCCTTAGGATGTTCCGGAGAACGTATACCTCTGTGGGCCCCACCTATTCCACTGTGGTCCTCAACTGTCTCAAGGTGAACCCTGGGTTTTCGGGAAAGAGGAGAAGGTTGGGGGAAGAAATGGTCTTTGGGACTTTCAGACTCTGTGTGGGGTGATTTTTGCCTTCCCTTTTAACTGTCATCCCCATGTTGCTCAAAACGACATTTTGCCCACTCCAGAGGCAAACTCCTATCTTTTTGTCTCCCCTGCACTGAGAGATACCTGGGAAGAAAA